AATGGCTAAACAAAAGACACTATGCAGAATGGCTAATTGCCAGATATACCACCAATAAATCAGCTGGACCCCATTAATAAGTAGTGGTGCTCAATTTTCTGTTAATTCAGATACTCCCTGCAAACCCAGGGAGCTCTTTAAAAGTGACTGCAGTAATAATTTCCCTTTATGTAAGTCAAATAAAATTATCATTTAATCCTAGAGTTGTATCCTGTAGAAATAATCATTATGATTAATTATTAAGTATTTCTCAGCACAGATTCTAGGAAACCAGAGTCCTGGGTTCACTATTCCAGGCTGGTTATCAATATGCATGCAGCTTGTTGTCTCTAACTTCCCATGTTGCTGTTGATAAAACAGGAAAGCCCAAAATATTACATAAATAATATATAAGTCTAGATTTAATCACTATTGACAATAAGAACAAAATAGTTTGTTTCATCTGACAATCTCTACGTGCTTACTTGATTCTCCAGATTTTACCATATCTGGCACAAGAGGGATATAGAAAAGTGTTTTTAAACAAGAAGGATATAAAGAAGTGCTCAACAGGGAACCCAAGGGTTTGCTGTTAATTTCTGTGAAGTGGAAGCGGATCCCTTAATCTTGCAGTTTTTCCTCCAAAAAAAGCACTCCTATATTTTGCTTTTTTTTTTTTTTCTTCCTATCGGGCAGAAGAAATGATGAAATACTGTCTTTCCCTGGAGAGTAACATGTTCAGAACCAATCTAAGCAATTGCTATGACACTGGTCAAAAATACAGTAAAAAAAAAAAAAAAAAATGCTTGTGTTTCTTAGCATCTTTTTTTCCCCTGCATTACTAGGATTTTATCTCCGGCAAAGTATTTCAATGTCAACACTTGAAAATATCTTAGCTTTCTTGCTGCAAGGAACAAACAAGAAGACGTATGCAACAGCACTCTGTAGAACAGTAAAGTGTCATATGCATGCTGGACATGTGTAGGATATTATTACTAATAAAGTTTAGTAATAATAATAATATGCACTTAAACTTTCCATAAAAGTAGCCCTCCACAGTCTATTAATCCAAGACCTGTCTGCAGCCTGGTATTTATATGTGCAGCATATCCTTTGAGAGCTATTCTAGACTGAATGCATACATTTTAAAAATATAATCACTCCCAAATTACAAATTATGAATTATTTTTCAAAAGACTACAGTGGCTATTATAATGGGTAAACATATTTAAAGAACATTAGAGTGTGGTGCAAAAACAATAAATACTGTTACGCTGAAAAGAAATTAAAAAAAATTTGTCATGACAAAATTGAAAAAAAAATAAAATAAAGAACATTAGAGCTTTTTAAAAACTGTATTAAGAAATGTCACAGTGATGGGGCACCTGGGTGGCTCAGGGGGTTAAGCTTCTGCCTTCAGCTCAGGTCATGATCTCAGGGTCCTGGGATCAAGCCCTGCATTGGGCTCTGCTCAGCAGGGAACCTGCTTTCCCCTCTCTCTGCCTGTCTCTCTGCCTACTTGTGATCTCTGTCAAATAAATAAATAAAATCTAAAAAAAAAAAAAAAAGAAAGAAATGTCACAGTGATTGTTTTGTTGGTCTTCAAAAGACTGGGTTGAGATATATAAAGATAGATAGATATTTAGTTATCAGAGCCTTCTTCTTTGCAAGTTGACCAAATGGCTTCTCCCAAACTCTTATTTTCCTGGGTCTTGTAAGATGACTCCATCTTCCCCTACCGATATGAACCATGAAGATAACTCAATAAAGTCAGTGCTTGTAAAGACACTGGGATCCAGGCAATGTGAATTTCTAGCACCTAAACTACAAGAATTCCTGCTTGTTTTAGTGTTACTTTCAGTACCCAGATATTTTTAAATAAATACATAAAAATTTTCTCACTTTATCTTTAGTACTTGAAATCTATTTTAAAAAGGATCAGGACCTTTTGTTCAAATTAATAACTAGCTTATGATGTGCATAAATTTGCTTAATTGAGTTCAAAAGGCTCAAAGTCTAAATATATAAGATAAAATAAATGAATTACTGCTACAACTCTAAAGTGCATTTAAATTCAATGTTCAAGACATGAAGAATATTTTCCTACCATCTTTTAAACCAATCAAGGTAACATTTTGGGTCAAAGAAAATAAATATTCATATGACAGTTCCTATTGTGAGTTCTTATAGATGGAGGTTACCAACCGGGGATGAACTTAGATTTCTCCACAAAGCCCAGTGAAGAATGCAGGTCCTCAGTCTTGGGGCAAGATCACCATAAGCGCATAGGTCATCATATGTACCCAGAACATCCCATGTCCACCAAAGCACCAGTTTTTCCCATCACCAGACAAAATCCTTGGAAGACCTGACAGACTACGAGAACTACACAGATGTTGCCAAGTCCCCCAATGATTTTGTTTCACACCTGCTATATTATACATTATACATTTCCAACACTGCACCAAAGAAACCCACTGGTGACATAGACATAAAGAGCTACAATTTGCATAATTTTTCCATCAGAAGCAGAGTTTCCTAAACAGTAGCAAATGTGTCATGATTTTAGATAAAACACAAATGAACCTTCAAATGAAATTAGTAGTTACATATTTATTTTCATGGACATTTAAAAAATATGACTATCTAACCAACTTCATATTTTTATTATTTAAGATGTGACTATTCTTAAAATTTTTAAATTCAAATATAAGTTGACACATCAACAACTAAAAATATGTTAATTTAAATTTGAATTTTAGAATTTTAAGAATTTAATAGTAGGTGGATATGGCTTAAAAGATGATGATGGTTTGCAAATTTCTGAATATTTAGAAGTGCCAAGGCCTTTTGTTGTTACTAAGAATGTATCCGTTTTTAATATTTAATGTTAAAGATGCCAAAAGTTTAAATTGAGAAATTTACAGGTGTAAGTAGTCCTGGGGAATTTTCCCCCTTGGGGTCCCTTAATGGCCTATTCATTAATAGGGTGAATATGAGTAATAATCCTGATATTTGTGTGCTAAGCTGTGACTACAGACATTTACATATATATCTAACATATATGTAAATACATTTTACATGTATGTAAATACATAGAAACTATATACATTTCTCTATATAGAAACATTCAAGCTTAAAACTGTGGTCATGCACAATGCAGGCAAAAAAATTTTTTAGTTCTCAATTTTTAAAAAATTTTAAAATGTTCCTGATGCCCTGCTGGGGTGAGTGACTGAGACCTGAGGCAGGTGTTCTGATCCTTCCCAAGGGCTCATCTGCAAAACAGGGGAAATAATAATCCCCACTTCAACAGGTCATGGTCAGGTGTAAAGGAGTGATTTCTAAAAAAGCTTTTTAAATAAATATGTGTGTGTGTGTGTGTGTGTGCACATATATATGTATGTTTGTGTGTGTGTGTGTCTATATATATATATATATACACACATATATATATATAATTCTATTATTATTATAACCTTTATATGGGAAGGTCCACAGTTTTCCAAGAGGATTTAAAAAAAAAAAAAAAAAAAAGACTTCTCTGCCCCTAATTTTAGGCTGCAATTGAGCTCACCTCCAGGGAGTTCAGGAGCAGAGCAAACTGCAAGGCCAAACCCATGCGCCACAGCACCTGCACTCAGCAACAGTTATCCCAATAGTTACCTGGGGTCAGCATTTGGCTTCCCAACTCCTTCACCTGCAACAAAGTCTGCAGGACAATGAAGCACAGAGCTCTTCCCCAGGAAGACAACAGAGGGCTGCTACAGAGGATCAATCAGTGGCACATGTGGACCAGGCTCATTGAGGGAGCTCCTGAGGTAGTAAGGGTTGCAAAGGGGACACTGAAAAATGTGGGGCTAGGGGGGACACTGTGTCAAGGGTCTCAAACTCAATTGCCTTCTGAGGCTGAACAGATCATAAACAAAACCAGACAAATTTGGGCCATGCTGAACTGGCAAGCAAATCCATCAGCTAAGAGAAACAGTCATTGTCCAGTACTAGCTGACTGTCATCAAATGAGACATCGTTTCATTTGTCACCAAATGAAACTGACTTTTCAGGAGAAGTTGGAAGTCATTTTTATGTGAAATTCCCCACTTACTAATCAGGAACTAATTCCCCCCAAAAAGTTAAATCCTCTGCAAGCCAAATAAAAAACAAGTCTGTGGGCCACTCGCCATTCTAGAGCTGCCATTTTGCTAGCACTATAGTCCCAACCCAGGAGACAAAGGGAGAAGAACCAAATCACAATGAGAAAACTATTTTTAGGCATTTTCTAATGTCACACCAAAACAAAGATAGCCAGATTGTAAGCTAGAGCTGACAACTCCCTTACAGGAGTGTTCAGAAGACTGACCAAAATGCTAGTTTTCATAACCATCTGAGAAAGCCGTTTACCAGTGTTTTCCTTTGGCCCGGATCAGTGTAGTACCATTACCCACTGCCCACACGGCCCTGGATTTTGAAGTAGGACGACAAACCAAACACCGCTGCAAACATGCCCCTCAGCCACCTGGCTTCCTAATGAAGAACTAAGAGATTGTCTGCATTTCCCAGCCTTCCCCTTAACCTCTGAGATTCGGGTCTCATTAAAGACCAGGCCCGAAGCATGGTGCACTGGCAGCGTGAATACAATGCCGTTCACCGGTTAATTCCCGTTCAGGCAAAGCTAAATGGGGCCGGCTCATCTCTTGCTCTGCACATTTCACTGCAGTTGGGGGTACTCTGGAATCCAACAAGAAGTTTCCTAGAATACCCCATCCGCCGCACACCTGACCCCAACACCACATCCGCTCTCCCAGGACCCGTTATTTGTGAACTTCATGACCTGCCTTTCCGTCCTGGAGGATGCCTTCCTGAGCGACAGGCACACAGAAGTGCTACAGCCATGAACTTCCTCCTCCAAGGCAACTGCAGCCACGGCTTGTGAGGCGGAGGTGCTCTCCGCCCTCATCCTCGTGCGTCGCGCCTGGCAGCGGAGCGCGAGCCGCATTGGCTGCTGCCTCCTCGCTCCCACAATGCCCAGCACCCGGCACAGTACGCAAGGGCCGTCGGGAGGACTGGCTGCCTCCCACGCGAGGAGGCAAGGCGGGACGAGGCGGTGTCTTCCCTCAGGAACGGAAATGATTAGTTCCCCCAATCTTAGGTGTCTAGTAAGGAAGAGACGCAAAGGTTTTGTGGGCTTATCTGTCCTGGTGAACCAGCCGCGCTGTTTGAAAGATCATGAGATGTCTGTGCAGGGTTGTTAAGATCTAAGCTATGAAACTCAAAAGTATTTTCCCAAGTATTTGGAGGCCACATTTTACCCCAGTTCTGCAAACCCTACTTAATCCAGTTAAAAAAAAAAAAAAAAACATATAATAAGGTATCAGATATACTTAGTTTACATTTCAGCTATTAGGTGGTTCCTTATACACTATATGCTAAGGAATTTTTTTTTTTTTTTAAACTGGTGAGGTTTTTTTTGTTTTTTGTTTTTTTAAAGCATATTTTCTAGCTTAACAGTTCCAGGAACACTTTCAGTTCTACTTTTCAACTGGCATTGCTTACTAAATGCAAGTTGTGATGTATGTATGCTTATGTACATATATGCATATCTTAGTCTAACTATATTTTAGAAATATGTCCTTAACTCTCAATGTAGACTCAAAAAACAATAGCACTGAACAAATATTAGAGCTCAATCTTCCCAAACCCTTTATGAAAGAAAGAAAGAAAGAAAGAAAGCAAGCAAGCCAATATTCATCTGGAAAACTTTACTCTTCAGGAAACACAGATGGATAGGCTTAGATGAAGAAAATATTATAATCACCTATTACCAGGAGAAAGCTTTTAAATAAGGAAGAACTTGCCCTACTGGGTAAAGCAAGTAAGATTAAAAAGACCTCGATGAAAAAGGCAATTACAATGAAATATTATCCCGTGTATGCTGGGCTCAGGAAAAAGACATGCCACTGTGCAGCACTGTACAAAAATCCAGCCAACATAGGTATGTTAGCACCAATGGGAGAAAAGCTGAACAGATATCTTCCTTCACTCAGTTCTCTAAACAGAGACAAGACCAAGGAATAGGGGAGGGACTGTGGAAATGATTCTCAAAATCAGTCCTTCTTTTTCAATGACTGAAAGCCTCAAATCTGACAGTACCAGCTCCCTTTTCTAAAGACCACCATCTGGAATGAAATCTATCTCATTCTGTGAGTGACAAGGCCCTCGTTATTACTGACAGATTTTTTTTTTTTTTTTAGTGTGTTTGAACTCCCAAAGACTAAGCAAGAAATCTCTTGCCAGCCCAATTGAGAGGCAAAAATAGTGCCTGCTTGTACCTCCCGTGGTCTGCTGCACAGCCTCCTGTGTGACCATGTCCCAGCCCATAGGACAGCAACTGGACAGGGTAGAGGGAGAAAAGTACAGGGAGGACACCTGAGCAGAGCTGAGGGTAGTGTGTCTGAGAATAAGCCCCACAATGGGGCATGCTAGCCTAGCAATCCCAGAGCAGAAACACCTGGAAACCAAAGAGCAGAACAACAGGGTCTTAAAGTGCTCTTACAATGCCAGTCCTGTAGTTATCGAAAAAAAAAAAAAGTTGGGGTAATCTTACAAACACAGCTTGCCTGTCCCCAGACCTCTCTCTATAATCTGTTTGCTGCCACTCTCCTGACCCCCAAACAGCAAAGATGAGAATTCATGTTGGCAAAGCTCAGGATCCAGGAGTTGCTATGACCTTCCCTCTGAGAAATGGCTATAGAAACAGCAGCCTGGGGATAGGGAGGGAACATAATGTTAAAGCAGCAGCCAGAAAGCAAAGAAGGAATGCTGGAAGGCCACATTCCTCCTGTCCCTCTGCTCTTCCTGAGAGGTAGCTACACAAATAACGAGCCAGTCACTTCCCCAAACAGTTTAGTTCCCTGAGTATTGTTTAGTGCCAGGTTACGTACCGAGGGGACAGTTCTTTCTGAGGGAAGGGGGAGAGTGTTCAAGAGAAGTTTTAGAACACAGGCAAAATTGAGCTGGCCAGTAATAATGATGAGGATAACAGCTAAATGTACTGAATATTTACACAGTTTAATTAACTATGTTCAGTGCTTATGGGATTATATAATGTAATATAATTATGAAATGAAATTGACAGGCAGGAAGATGCATAGAGAAAGCATTGCAAGAAGGAACAGCATGAGCAAAGGTAAGGAAGAGAGGAAGTGTTGTCACATTCAAGAAATGATGAGGTGAAAGAAATAATGAATAGGTAAGAGAAGAATTGGGACAGGGTTAGAAATATGCTTCCAAGAAGCCCTCCCTCATGGCAGTTTCCCATTCTGATTACTGCTCTGTATATAGTCCCTTCCACACTTAAAATGTTCACTTTGCAGGATGTGTCTGCCAAGATTATATATGGCTGGAAGTATCAGATACCTAAAATAACAGACAGATGGCAGTTTATTGCTCTCACATAGAAGCCCAGAGGTAGGCTGCCCAAGGCAGTTCCATAAACACAGGGCCCCAGGCTCCTTCCAGACTTTACTCCTCCATTCCTTGGTGAGGCCCTCATCTGCAAGGTCCAGTATGATCACAGGAGCTCCAGCAGTTACATCCACATCCAGTGAGCAAGAAGAAGACATGAAGAAGAGGAGTCAAAGGGGACACGGTGGACAAATAAGGATCTCAGTAGCTGTCACAGAACAGTTCCTCTTACACAGCATTATCCAGTCTTAGTACTGGCCACATTTATCTGCAAGGGAGGCTCAGAGATGCATCTTTTCTCTGGGTGGCCATGTGCCAGCTAAAAACTAGGAACTCTGTTACTGAAAGAGAAGAGGAACATAGATGCTGGGGGACAAGTACCAGCCTCTCCATAGTAATTTATATCATCTTGCTTGCCTCTAGAACATTTTCTCTTTTATTAACATGTAAGGTATTATTTGTTTCAAGGGCCTAGTACCTCTTCTTTGACTCAACTAGATCACAACTTCCTTAAGAGTAAAGACTATCTTCTACTCTTTCATACATTTCATGGCACCTAGTACATACCAAGCATCCAATAAATGATGTAGAAAATAAATTGATGAATAACAAATAAAACAAGCAAATTCATAAAACCTTGGTAGACTCTACTTTCATGGCTGAGCTACACACAAATAGTGTGACCATATGATAATGAAACTGATTTCTTTTTCCAGTATGTATCATGGGAAGATAAAGACTTTAAGAGCCATAATCATATTATCAGTAGAAACATAATTTTTTTTAACAAACAAACCAGCCCCTGTGTACCCAAAGGAGAGTCTTTATTGTTAATGCAATCTTTATAGCCCCATGAACACTGTTTCACAATAACCAATTATGTTGAATTTTCCATCTTCCAAAGGTCTATTTGGAATTTGGAAGCATGGAAAAGTGATCCAGAACCAAGTGTGATAAATAATAAGCTAGGTCATCCAGTATAATACATTGAATTACATTAATAATTACATTAATAATTATATTATTACATTTTTAGATAATGGTAAAGTAACTGGACCAAATCTCTCACATGCTTTAAAAATACCTGTGGGACAAAGAAAATAAAAGAGTACACTGATTGTGAAAAGCACTGAGTATTTTATAGAATTGTTTTGGGTTTTTTTAATAATTGAATCACTATATTGTACACTTGCATCTAACATTGGATGTGAAAATAAAAGCATATTCATGATAAAAAAATAATAAAATAAAAAAATTTTTAAAAATAATAATGCTAAAAAAATGCCTGTGGGAAGTAATTTTAGGAGGGCAATTCTGAAATCTTTTCAAGAATGATGAATTACCTAAATGTCACAAATAGTAGTTACTTATTATATTTATTATTTCAGAAGAATAATAATTCAGACATAGATAAGCATATTAACATGATATATATATTTATTTGTCCTATTATTAATGAACAGGATTGTGCACTATAGATAATGCAAATTAGATTTTAAATTTATATACACATATATGTTTATACATATACCGCACATACATATTATATATATTCAATATTATATATGATATATATTATATATACACACACACGCACACACATATATATATATTTGCACAAATACACACACATCTGTGTCCCCTTATTATTTGATGAATAGGATAACCCAGAATGGATAAACAAAATGTTTACCAATCCAGACCCTCCATAATGTAAAGCATTTACTGGGCTCAACTTTACTATACACGGTAACTAAAAAGCAAACCAAACCAAACAAATAAAAAGAAAATACTCTGATAGGCAAATAAAAATACAATAACAATACATAATTAGTTTAAATCATGTAATAATGTTTTTTTTTTTTCTCAGAGAAATTGAAGGCAGTTTACAGACATCAATTTTCCTTGGGGAAAACAAAGGCCATATCTCTTCTGCCAGCAATTCTTGGCTGTTCATGCAATGCTGAGCCATTATCTGATCTGTGGAGAATTTTATATTAACCACAAGGAAAAAATTGAATCAATAATGTTGCTTAGAGTGGACACAGCACTTCTCATCTTCCTAGCACTTTACCAACATTGATGAATTAAACCCCCCACCATCCCAGTGAGACTAAAACAAAGAGTTCTACTCTTTCACTCGGGGAAGGAGGCAGAGAGAGGTCCAATTAGCTGCCCTCAGCAGTGTGGGGAGTTAGGGTCAGGGCCAGCGCTGAGGTGAGAACTGCCTTGTAGGGGAATGAACACCCAGCACACTCAAGCCTTCCACCGCATTCCTCATACCATCCTCAGAGAACAGGCTTCAGGCTCGGGCGCCCCATTGTCTGAGGCAGCGTGGAGAATGTGTTTTCAAGTCAAATATCTATCAATCAACACACATTGATTTTCTTTAATTATCTCCACAGAGCAGACTTGATTCTGAGGAGCTTATGTGATTTGAAAAATGTATCCCCTATTTGTCAGACATGTATAATTTATGAAGTCCTTTCACTCAAGGTCTGTAGTCCAAAGCTGGCAATTTGTAAGTTATTAACATGTTATTAGACATACCCTACTAAGATTTGCAGACTTTCAGCCCCTTACACAAAAACAAAAGAAACGCTACATAAATTTTCACTTTCACTATTAAGCTCAGAGCATTCTGATTCTAACACCACCCTATGAATCGTTCCCAAGGAACTACCTGATAAAAGAAAACTATCAAAAAATGATCCTTAACAGTCAAGCTCTTTGGTTTAAAACAAGACTCC